AATAAACTCAATAAAAAATAAAATTAGGTTTCTGAGTTACACAGCAGGAAAGGCAAAATCAGTCATCACAAATGATGAGTTAAAACGCATATTATGGAAAATGTTGCTTCATGATGATAAGAGGAAAAAGAAAGCCTGACAATGACTCTTTCCAGACAACAGTAATGGTTACAATTATCTTCTGAAAATAAAGAAGTAAACCATTGTTTAATATTAAAAACAAGGAAAAAAACCAATTGACTATATTTGTGGCTTTATTTTTGGACTCTGTTCCATTGATCTGTTTGTTTCTTCTAAGGCCAATACCATACTGTTTTTACTTAATTAGGTTTATAGTAAAACTTAAAATCAGGAAATGTGACTCCTTGGACTTGGTTCTTCTTTATCAAAATTGTTTTCAATATTGTAGATCCCTTTTACTTCCATGTAAAACTTGAAATACACTTGGCAATTCCTAGAAAAAGCCTGTTGAGATTTTGATTGTGATTTTGTTGAATTTATAGATCAATTTCAGAAGAATTAGCACCTTAATACTGAATTTTCTAATCCTTAAGCAAGCTATCTCTCTGTATTTATTTAAACCTTTTAAAATTTCTCACAGCAATAAACAGAGTGGGGAAAACATAGGTTTACAGATGTTTGAATGGAAAAATAATACCATTATATATATATATATATGTATGTATATGTGTATATATATATATATGCCTAAGCGACTGTTTGACCATTCGACCATTTGACCGTTCGACCATTTGACCAGTAGCTATGATGTGCACTGACCACCAGGGGGCAGATGCTCAATGCACAGGCATAGAACCATGGAACAGACTGATGAATCTCAGAGGGAAGGGGATAGGGGGAGGGCAGGAAGAGATTCACCAAAGATCTTATATGCATACTAGAGGCCTGGTGCAGGGATTCTTGCACCAGTGGGGTCCCTTGGCCTGCTCTGCAGAGATCAGGCCGAAACCAGAAGTCCAACATCCCCTGAGGGGTCCCGGATTGCGAGAAGGTGCAGGCCAGGCTGAGGGACCCCACTGGTGCAGGAATCTGTGTACTGGGCCTCTAGTTAATAAATAATAATGTAAGAATAAACTTTGTGTTGCATGTACTCACATCTGTGAATCTACTTTTGCCCTACCCTGTATTGTAGTTTTCAGCATACAGGCATTATATATGCGTTTTATAAAAGGAATACATAAGTATTTCATCTTTTTTATACTACTGTAAATGTTACTTCTTTCAATTTTAATTTCAGTTGTTCTTTGTTAGTATACTAGTATTTACTGATTTTTATATATTGATCTTGTATCCCATGATTTTGCTAAACTCACTAGTTATAGTAGATTTTGTGGATTCCTCAGGTTTTGCAACATAGGTAATCATGCTGTATATAAATAGAGTATTTCCTTTTCAATCCCTATGACCACTTATTTGTTTGTTTTACTGAATTTGCCAGGACCACTAGTATGATGTTGAATAGAAATGATCCGGCATCTTTGCCATGTTCCTGATCTTAGAGGAAACATATTGAGTGCTTCATCATGTATATAATTTTAGCTGTAGGTTTTTCATAAATGCTCTTCATCAGGTTGAGGACATTTTATCCTATTTCTAATTTCCTGAGAGTTATTTGATAAACGAAAGTTGAATTCTTTCAAATGAATTTTTCTGCATTTATTTGGTCATGTGATTTTTTTTCTTTATTCTGTTAATGTGGTAAAAACTGTGCTGATATTTTCAAATGCGAAACCAACCTTGAATTCTTGGGATAAACACAAGTTGGTCATCTTTTTAAGTATAGATGAATTTGATTCAATATTTTGTTAAGATTTTTACATCTAGGTTAATGAGGGATATTAGTGTATAATTTTTTAAAAATTTTCTTGTTTGATTTTGGCATCAGGGTTGTGCTTCCTTCATTAAATAAGTTGAGACATATTCCCTCCTCTAATTTTATAAGAGGGTTTGTGTTTATTTCTTACATATTTGATGTAATTCATAATTTAAGGCATCTGAACCTGGAGTTATTTGTTTTAGCATGGCTATTAATCGTGAACTCAGTTACTTTGTGTTTGTAGGGCCAGGCATATCTTCTTTTGAGAATTTTGGTAATTTCTATTTTTAAAAGAAATTTGACATTTAACTCAAGTTATCAAATATCGGCATAAAGTTGTTTGTAATAACCCCTTATCTTTTCATTGTCTCTAGGATATATAATAATGTTTCCTCTTTCATTCCTGATACTAGTATTCTGTGCTTTCTTTTTTTTAATTCATCCATCTAGCTAGGGTTTTATAATTTTATTAACTATTTTAAAGAACCAACTTTAATATTATTGATTTCCCCCTGCTGTTATTTGCTTTTTGTTTTATTGCTTTCTGCTTTTATCTCTATTATTTTATTATTCTTTTAACATTGAATTTCATTCTTTTTTATCTTCAACTATTCATCTTAAAATTTGCTTCTTTTCCATAAGCTTTTAAATCTATAATTTTTTGGTAGTCTGTTTTAGCTACATCTTACACATATTGACACTTTTCATTATCATTCTTTAAAAATATTTTCCATGTAATTTTCTTTCTTGACACATGTATTATTAAGCACTGTGCTGTTTAATTTCCAAATCTTTAAGGTTTTTCTAGGCACAAACTTTTCTTAGATATCATTGATAGTTTTATATCATTATCATATATTAATTTCTAAAATTATCCTATTCTTATCAGGGACAATACTATGTGGATTTCAGTCATTTAAAACTTATTGAGCCGAACCAGTTTGGCTCAGTGGATAGAGCATTGGCCTGCGGACTGAAGGGTCCCAGGTTCGATTCCGGTCAGGGGCATGTATCTTGGTTGCGGGCACATCCCCACTGGGGGGCGTGCAGGAGGCAGCTGATTGATCTCTCATCGATGTTTCTGACTCTCTATCCCTCTCCCTTCTTCACTGTAAAAAATCAATAAAATATATTTTTTTAAAAAGTTATTGTGCCCTGCCGGTGTGGCTCAGTGGTTGAGTGTAGTAGACCCATGCACCAAGGGGTCACTGGTTCAATTCCTGGTCAGGGCACATGCCCCTATTGTGGGCTTGATCTTCAACAGGGGGCATGCAGGAGGCAGCCGATAGATATTGATGTCCTCTCTCATGGATGTTTTTATCTCTCTCTCCCTTTCTTTCTCTCTAAAAATCAATAAAAACATATTTAAAACCTCACTTCCTGGCTTCTTTTAATATTTTCTTTGACTTTTTTGCTGTTTGAATATGATATGACTAGGTATAGATTTTTTTTTTAAGTCATATGCTTGGTGCTCTCTGAGTTTCTTGGATCTGTGGTTTGGTGTTTGTCATAATTTTAGAAAAATTTCAGCCATTATTATGTCAAAAATTTCTTCTGTTTCTTACTCTCTCTTCCTTCTGGTATTCCTATTACACGTTTCACCTTTTGTAATTGTCCCACGTTCTTGAATGATCTGTGTCTTTTATTTCTCTCCATTTTTTACTCTTTGCTTTTCAGTTTGGAAAGTTTCTATTGAGCTATTTTTTGGTTCATTGATTATATCCTCAGCAGTGTTCGGTCTGCTGATGAGCCAGCAGAGGCATTCTTCATTCTGTTATAGTGTTTTTGGTTACTAGGGTTTCCTTTTGATTCTTTCTTAGAACATTCATCTCTCTGCTTACATTATCCACTTGTTCTTACCTGTTTTCTATATTTTTCCATTAGTGTCCTGAGCTTATTAATCACAGTTGCTTTAAATCCCCAGTCTGATCATTCCATCCACACTGCCATCTGCCATCTTGCAATCATGTAGATAAGAGCACATGCTGTGGAAATAGACTGCCTATGTGTGAACCCTGACTCTGCTTGTCAGCTGTACATTAATCTTTGACAGGGAACCTGAATTCTCTATATCTTAGTTTCCTCATCTGTGAAGTGGGAATACTCATAAGATCTTTTTCATTGAGTTGTTAGGAACATCAGCACATGAAAGGAGAATTAACCCATCAAAAGCACTTAGAATACTGTAAAAAAAAAACACACACACATACATACACTAGAGCCCCAGTGCATGAAATTCGTGCACAGGTAGGGTTCCTAGGCCTGGCCAGCAATCAGGGCCAATTGGGGCCTTCCGGCTGCTGGCCAGGGCTTTCCTTCTGGCTGCTGGCTGGGGCCTACCTTCCCCGCTGCTGGCTGCCGGCCAGAGCCTCCCTTCCCTGGCTTCTGGCTGCCAGCCGGGTCCTTCCTTCATTCCTCGCCGCCCCTTGGTGGTCAACGCACGTCATAGTGAGCGATGGAACTCCCAGTCTCCCGGTCGAACTCCCGAGGGGACACTTTGCATATTAGCCTTTTATATACATAGATTCCATGATGATGATTATGATGACGATGATGATATGAGGATACAGCCATTTTTAAAACGTGTCTGCACACTTGCATCTTGAGGGCCTTTGCCCTGCTGTCCCCTCGGTCTGTGCTGTTGCCCACACAGCTCCCTTCCTCCCTTCATTCAGCATGTGTGCGAGTCCCTGGAGCAGTGAGACCTCCTCTGAGCCTTTTATATAAAAGCATAGCCCTTCCCTGCTGCTTTCCCCTGGCCCTGCTTTATTATTTTTCTTTTTCTGACATATTACCTGTTTACTTGTTATTTTTTATTCTTTCCAGTCACCTTCAACTGAAATGTAGGCTGTGTAGGGTCTGTCTTCAAATTTTCAAAAATTAAAATGGTTTTAGGACAGTTTTCTCTATATATGCAAAAGGAAGTACTGTGCAGCTCCTTCCATTTTTCCCCCAAGAATATTGTATGATATTGAGAAGCATTTACATACCACTATCACACCCCTGTGAAAGCTGCCATACAGGATACGGAAGAGTAAAAGGGACCACGTGACCAGGGCAGGATCCACAGTGTGAGGATGGCCCGCGGCTTAAGCCCAGGTCTGCCTGAGACCACAGCCCCCTGCCTGAGCCACCTGTAACGTTTCCTGGCCTTCTCTTTCAGTATGAATACTTCAATGCTGTGCTGATCAATGAAAGGGACAAAGACGGGAACTTTTTGGAGCTGGGGAAGGAATTCATCTTGGCCCCAAATGACCATTTCAATAATCTGCCTGTGAACATCAGTCTCAGTGATGTCCAGGTGCCAACGAACATGTACAACAAAGGTAAGCCTCAGGGCGGAGAGGAGGTGGTGAGGTGCGGGGCTGGCCGGTTTGGGACATTATGTTATTTTGAAAACCACAATTATACTCTGGGTATGTCAGCGTGGATAGGTGCAGTGTGTGCTTGATCTGTCTGGAGACTCTGGCTTGCTACTTCCCCATGCTGTTTGCAGGAGCTCTCTGACAGCCAGTCCAGGGTTGGCAAACTTGCTTCTGTAAAGGGCCCGATAGTAAATATCTCTAGCCTTGAGGGACATCTAGCCTGCTCACAGCTACTCAACTCTGCTGTGCTGGCACAAACGCAGCCTTGGCGACAGGTAAGTCAGTGGATGTGGCTGTGTTTCAGTAAAACATTCACCTACAAAAAACAGTGTCCGGATTGGACCTGTAGGAGGTCACTCCCTGACCTGTGGTGGAGTCTCTCTCTTCCCTTCCTCTGTTCCTTGTAATGGTAGTTAAGTGTTCAGGAACGCCTGGGGTTGCAACAGAGTCAGCTGTGGTCTTTCTTAGAGTACAAAGCAGCAGGGACCTAAGGGGCTCCCTGTTTTCAGGTTTGTGGCCCTCAAATCCAGCCTTCACATAAGGGTCTAGGGATGTTGTCCCCAAGTCCCTATATGCCCATTGGGGTTGGGATTATCATGGCCAAGGACTGGGCTCTGGCAGCAGATGGACTCTGGTTAGACCCTGGGTTTCCCCTCTGAATGGCTGTGACCTTGAGTGCACCACCTTCTCCCCTGAGACCTTAGTTTCCTCTTCCGTAGAATGTGGATAATAACTGTGTCTACCTCATGGGGTGGCTGTGAGGACTTAACAGAGGGTGTGAATAAAAGCTTATGTTAATGATGTTGCCCTTGTCATCATCACCATCACTGAGTTGGATTTTGCTCTGCTTTGTCACACCTGGGAGGCTCCTAAACAAAGAGCCATTCCCTCAGAAAAATACTTCAGAAAATGATGGCATCTTCAAAGTAAAATTCCGCCCTGCTGCCTACCATTGTGGTTTCAAAAATATCAGGGGCCAGTGCCCATCACCCACCCAGCTCCGTACCACCTACAGTCGCATGGTGGTCCAGAGAAGGCTGTGGGTTTGGTTCCTGCTCCTCCCCTCGCTGGATCCTGAGCCTCAGTTTCCCTCCGGGATGAGGGTGCTAGCTCCCTCAGAGGGCCATCGTGAGGCTGTAAAACGATGTGGGTGCAGCCTTCGCACAACAGCGACTCATGAAAGTGCTCAGTCATCTTAGCTGCCATCGCTGTTATTGGGAAACAACATGACCATGAGTTGCATTTCTAAATTGCTCTAGGTCCCTGTTTACAAAGGCTGGTCAGTGATTAAAGAACCTCCTCCTCACTGTCTCTGAAGCATGCCTCTCGTGCCTGTGCTTTGTGGCTGGATACCTGATGTCTTCCTTTCCTTGTTAACATGTTACCCATCCTTAATCCTCAGTGGAGGCAGGACTCCATTCGTGAATTATTCCCATGGTTTTGGGGCACCACATGGTGAAGCAGACACAGCCCCTCTCCTGAGGGGTTCACACTTTACTTGGGGAACAAATAGGTAATGAGATCATTAGTTAGCGGTCACCTTTATGGAAAGCCAGGGACAGTGGCAGTGCTAAGGAGGGGCCCTGCCACTTGCTCATGTGGCAGCCACACATTTACCATTTTCTCTCTTCCTCCTGGAGAAAGTGATGTCAGTCTGAACCACCTCTGCTGGGCTCTGGACTGGGCCACGTGACCTAATCTTCAGTTTGGACTCTTCCTTAGAGAGCAGATTCCTGAGCACCTGAGCCTGAGGGGCTGAGCTCACGTCTCTGGTAGGGTTGAGTCCTCTAGGACGGTCTTGTCAGCGAGGAAGGAAGGCCCCTTTGTGCATCGTGCTTGGAAGAAAGCCATCCTCTCAGCATTAAATACACACTCAACTGAAGATGAAAAATTAACAAGATTTTACAGAGCAATTTCAGATATAAAACAATTCAGAACGATCTTTTAAAATATGACAGCTGCTTCAAGGTTGCTGGAGCCATTAGCACCATTATGGAGAGAGATTTAATTGCACCGTAAGCTTTAAAGGCATAATTGCACCTTTCGGGGGCAACAGCACATGAGGGACCAGCACTGCCACTGATCACACAGGCTGTGGTGGTGGCTCTGAGTCTCACCAGGCGAATTCTAAAAGCCCAGGCAAGGGCAGTGGTCTATGAGGCGGACTTGAGCCCTGTGGGAGCTTCACTTGAGCTGTGGAGGTAGGTGATGATGTTTAAAGTCATTCTCAGCAGCGCTGTGGGGTCTGCCTACCGTCCCAACCCAGACTCGCTGGTCCCCGGCGGTGGGTTCAGTCAGGCTCTATCCCTTGTCTAGTCTGCTAGGCAGCGCGGAGCTGCCCAGGGGAGGGGCTTCAGGAAAATTCCTGTCTCCATTCTACCTAATTCAAACCAGCCCCAAACCGTCTTTTTTCTTTTCAAGCTGCAGAGATGTATTTTATGTTTAGAGGACCCTCCAGCTCCGATCCAGTTTTTGATGACATGTACTCAACACACATGCTCAGAGCTTGGTCCCTGGCTGTGATGCTCCTGGGTTAGGAATCTTACTCCCCACAAAGGAACCAATGCCGGGTCATGCTCACCCATGGGGCAGCTTGGACCCCGGGGGTGCACGTGGTTTGGGACTTGCTTGGGAGCTGCTATGCGTGGGAAGCGCTGCGCCAAGCTGGACCTCAACTTTCTGGTGACAAGTCCCACTTACTCGGCTGCCTCTCTGGGCGTGAGGTCCGAGAGAATAGGCACCTGGTCCCTCAGGATCCCCTCGGCTACTCTCAGGTCACCTTGGGGACTGGGAAGATTTGCACAGGCTGAGACCCCAGGCCTTAGGTTTCACCCCTGCAGGTCCATTGCCTGCCTTCCTTCTGAAGCATAAACGTTCCCAGCACTGTTAGGAGGTGGGGACAGGCTCCGCTCTAGTGAGACCCCAGGTCCATCTCCAGTGTCATGTCTCTGGCTGCCCTCTGCCTCCTCTCCTTTGCATACCACGGCTCCCCGCCCAATAACTGCACTGAGTTGAGATGCCCACACTCGCTGGGGAGAGCTTCTGACTTATGTAGCTTGCACATGTCAACCCTGCAAACATCCAGGGAGCAAGAACTATAGAGGCTCTGACTACCGGCCTGGGAGAGAAAGGGGGAGAGAGCAGAGAGAGCAAACTAAATGTTGTCTCAGTGCAATATGTCATCTGTTCCTTCGTTTGTGCTTTCCATCCTTCATTCATTCATCAGACATTGTCTGTGCCAAGCTCTAGAGATCTATCCATGACTAGGACAGACATGGGCCCTGCCCCGAGCGGTCGGGGAAGACAGGTACTGAGCAAGGTATGACCAGCGTGACAGGAGTTGCGAAGGCAGAGTGCGGCACTGACCTGGTCCTGGCCTCCCTGAGATGAAGAGAGGAGGAGACAGGCAGGCGGGAGTCATTGGTAGTGAAGTGTGTCCCACAGAAAGACTAAACTATGAGCAGGTATCCAGGTGGGCGAGTGTGGGGCAGGGACTCTGAGAGTGAGGAAGTGGGGTGTCGGGGAGGCTGTGGAGGGAGTAAGGATGGGCTGGCCCCCAGTGGCTGTAGCAGGAGCGGCCGCCCCTCTATGGGAGTCAGAAAGGTAACTATGGAGCCCGGGAGGGCTGGCCAGGTGGTGACAGGCTGTGAGAGCCATCAGAAGATCATGGAAGCGTTGGGGCCTGGTACCATCTGATTGGCAGCTTTCCTGAGAACAGGTGTGTGCTGGAACAGGTGTGCGCTGGTCCCATCCACACTGAAGGAGAGGACAGAAGGGAGGGAAGGAATCCAGGACACAGAATGAGAAAACCCGGGGGAGAGGAATGGTGCCTGGCCTGTTGGATGACTAAGGTGAGGGCTCTCGGGCAGGGCCCCAGAGAGCAACCTCCATTGAGAATATTAGCTCCCTGAGGGCAGGAACCTTATCTGTTTTGTTTTCTGATGATTTCTCAGCCTCAGCATGGTACTTAGCACATAGCAGGGGCTCAATAAATATTTATTGCAAGGTGAGTGAAGGAAAGAAGAGTGCAAATTAAAACACTTTGTTTTGATATGTATGAAGAAAAGACACCTGAAATAACTCTACATCTTGATTCCCCCTCCTCCAGCAGTAAAGGAAGGCAGGGGGACAGGTGGCCTGCCCGGCAGGCATAGGGGAGGTGTGAATTGCCTAGGGATACAGCCTAGGCCCATGGTGCAGCTAGCGAGCCATATGCAGCTCTTTGGCCCCTTGAGTGTGGCTCTTCCTAAGCCTTAGGAGTGCCCTAATTAACTTAATAACAGTGTACCTAACTATATAGTTTAAGTTTAAAAAATTTGGCTCTAAAAAGAAATTTCAATCGTACTGTTGATATTTGGCTCTGTTGATTAATGAGTTTGCCGACCACTGGCCTGAGCCATCCCTTTATTTTCTTGTCAGGGAACCTAGTCAGACAAGACTGGGCTGTGTGTGGAGGCCCAGCCCCTGAAAATGAAAACAGGTTCAGGGAAAGGGACACTCATCACCACCATCACAGAGGAATCGTTCTGTCTATTACAGTCCAATAGGTTCTTCTAAAAGCCCAGGCAAGGGCAGCGGTCTATGAAGTGGACTTGGGCCCTGTGGGCGCAGAGCTCACTGCTGGGAGGTGGACCTGGGCCCTGTGGGCGCAGAGCTCACTGCTGGGAGGTGGACCTGGGCCCTGTGGGCGCAGAGCTCGCTGCTGGGAGGTGGACTTGGGTCCTGTGGGAGCAGAGTGCGCTGCCATCAGGATGGGCAGGATCGCTCTGTGTGGATTTGTCAGATGTCTCAACCTATTTTTCAAATGTTGGGTTTGATAAAATGCAAAGTGCATTTTGCCAAGCACTTTTCCCCTTAATTACATGTGTATATTTTAAGGGGAATTTAATCCATATGTTTCTGATTCGTTTACACGGAAATCATTAAAATGTTTTCTAAGAGTTGTTTGACGTGTAAGAAGG